AGTTAATGAGTTATGTGCTCTCTTGAGGGTGGCTTTGCTTCTGAGGGGTCTGAAGAGAGGCATTTCAAAGGGGTGTTAACCTAGATACACAAGAACAATGGACAGCACTGGCTTAAAAAAAAACAAAACTAAAGTTTTAGTTATAAGCCTGGGATGTGACCTACCCAGGTAGGATTCACGATCAGATCACCCTGTGAGGTTACTTTCCATAAAAGTCCTTATTTTGTCCATAGTCCTACACTTTCATCTTTGTCATTCTGGAATGACCAGTCATTTTACTATTAGAAAAAATTACTCTTTTTCCTTAACAAAAACATCCTGCATACCTTATATACTCAATTTAGTAAGTAAGGTGTTAAGTTACCCAAAGATCTTGAAACCTTAGGGGTGACATACTACATACGAAACATAATTATTGTCGAGATAAAGTTCGGTCAGAATAAGTTTCACTTTAAAATATTACATATATATACATACACACACCAACATACATATTAAGTAAAAAAATCCTGGGGATGTGATGTACAGCACGGTGACTATATTTTCTTAACCACTGTTTTCTAGGATCACAGGGCCAGAACAGCTCTTTCCATAATGTCACCTTTTGTGATGGCCTTGTATACCTATAATACCAGGTGGGTGAGTGGTGGCTTCATGGGACCACAGTTATGGTGTTATGAGGGCCTTCAGGTAAAATGTCCCACCTGGAGTCTTTGACGCTCTGACAGCACCAGATAACCACTTTTTCTTGGCATGGGAAAGAGCTTGATTTAACAGACTCTTAGAAGTGCGTTCTGATTAAGGTCTGTGTTCCCTTTCTCAGACATAGCAAACATCAGCAGTTAAAGGCAAAGGAGGTGATGCCTGTCCATATCTTGCTCTGTAACCTTTCATTAAAAATTGTTTCCTTTAAATATCTTTATTAAAGAAAAGCCTGTTCATTCCTATCTCCAGTAAAGCAAAAGAAAACTATTTTGCTCCCAAAGGCCCACAAATTCTGGATCTGAAAAGTAATTACAGGCTTCAGTTTTGTCACTGAAGGCTTAGTTAAAGGGTCTGCAGCATTGCAGTCGCCCAGCTCTCGAGAAACAGGCTGGCGGTCTCATCTGGCGGTCTCATTTTTATCAATATCTGCTGGGGACCTGTGCACACCTTCCATTGTGCTACCTGAGCCTCACCCACGACCATTTCTTAACAGCTTTCGGGGCCTGTGGACCGGGCCCTAGGGCAAACATCCCAAATCTTCCCTGAGTGCAGGAAACCTACCGAAAATGGCAGGAAGCAGCTTCGGCGGGTAATACTCGATCATGAAGTCAAGAGAATAATGGGAGAATGGCATCCTTGACAGTTTTCTGCCTCTAAGTGAACTCTAAAAATGTTCATGTCCCTGTGAAATGCAGGGGGCAGCTGCATTTTTGTCGTGCTCCCCTAGAACACAGTCCAAGAAAAAATAAACAGGGATCAGGACTTTTATGTCAGAAGGACCACCTGGGGCTTTACTTTTGCACTCGGCCCTGTGCTGACTTGCAATTTTCAAATGGGGGGAGGGTGCCCACTGGTAACTGTTGCGGCACAGCTCGGGTCCAATGCGGAAGAGACAGTGGAACAGGAGCCGCAATGCCTCCTGAGCATGGCGTCCTGCATGGTGGGCTTGGTGTCCACGTGGTGGGCTGGCGGTCTCCTTGGAGTTGGCGGTCTCCTTGGAGCTAGCCTGAGGCAGGCCGCAGTCCAGCTCTGCAATGTACACTGCAGAGCTCTGCAATGTACACTGCCCCTAGCTCTAGTCGAATACCCCCTTCCATGGCCACGTGCATCAAGGACAAGGTCAAGGGCTGAGACAAAGGACCCCCCCTTCCGAGGGAGCCTGGTGGGCGCCAGGCTGCGAGTGCGAGTGCGCAGGCGCGAGTGGGCCGTGCGCAGTTCCGGAGAGGGGGGCGGAGTTTCTCACCCGGTAACGTCTTCCCGCCACGCGAGCTCTGCCCAGTCTGCACTGCGGCAGCGGCACCGTTGTGTGGTGGCTGTTTCTTGGGCGCTCCGGCGTTCGGGTCTTCAGGCCTCTCCGGCAGGTAAGGAGTGGGGCCCTGGGTACAGAGAACAACCCAAACCGTGGGACTTTCTCCCCAGTGACCGTTGTCATCTTTCGTGGCATCCCAGGGGCCCATGGCCGTAGGTGTCGGGTGGAAGGGGGACCCCACTAGATCAGGCCTGGCACTCCGTGGACTCCCCAGGTATATTTACAGACATAGCGATCAGCCTAGGAACTGCAGAGGAACCTGTTCATGCCTAACCTTGCCCAGAACCTTTTCAATCTGCACATCTAGAACAGGTGGCACTGGCCTTTCCCCCCCCCCGACCCCGGAGAGAAAATGGCTTCGGCCCTTCTTCTCCTGGCCTCCGCCAATATATCCCTGCTCCAGAATGGGGGTTCTTTGTAGTAGGGCTGGGGGGTCTTAGGGCGGTAGGTTTAGAGTGGGGAGCATAGGGCAATGAGAATGAGAGGTTTGGGGATAGTTGTTGGGCTCAGATGGGGGCAGGGATCGCATGGGGGAAGGGGTTGTGTGGGGGCAGGGATCGCATGGCGGAAGGGGTTGTGTGGGGGCAGGGATGGCATGGGAGAAGGGATTGCGTGGGGGCAGGGATTTAGCTGTGGACTTGGCCTCGGGGGGGGGCAGGGAAGGGCTTCAGAGGGGTGGTGCATGAGTGGCAGTGGCAGGACTGGCAGGGGTAGGGATTGAGCTGTGGGGGTGGAGCTTGACACCATGGGTGGGATGGGGAGGGGCTTGGAGGCGGGGCTTGGAGGCAGAGCTTGGGAGGGGTGAAACATGAGTGGCAGGGTTTGGGCTTGGGTGGGGGCGTGGCTTGGTGAGGGGGCTTAGATTAGTGGTTGAGCTTCTGTGAAGGTGGGACTTGGCAGTGGGTGGGTGTGAGGGGCGTGTGGACTTGAGGGTGGGGCAGTCTTAAAAGTAGGATTTCTTCTCCAGCAGTGGACTCCAGGGAGCAGTTCCTCGTATCTCTGCACTGGGGACTTGTAGACAGCTCTGCAGACTTAGAATTGGCACAGCCAGAGAAGTAGCACTTGGGGCAGAACCGTAACAAAGTACTTTTCCCTTGCCTTGGACAGGTCCAGTGGAGCAGTACCCCCCCACCCGGGGGCCAGGAGCTGGCCGACTGGACAGAGCTAGAGAGCCGGTTGAGCGTTGAGTGCAGGTGCAATCCCCGCATTTGCACCACCAGAGGGCGCTACTCCGTGAGGTGAGTAACTGCGAGGTGGGCCTATGTTGGGAGGGGCTGCCTGCCAACGTGTACGGACTGTCGTCGGGTAGGGTCACAACTTAGAGAGTTTTCTGGGTCCCTTTTCTAACCCTGATTCTAGCTCCTACACAATTTAAAATCATACGCTCTTGATTTTTCAGCACTTGATCCTTGCTGCCCACCCCATCTCCCCTCCCTCTCCCCAGCCCCTTGTTGCTAGGACACTTCATTTGTTGGAGGCCAGTGACATCACCTGTTGCTCCTCGAGGACCTTTACCACATGACACCCATCTACGATAGAAAGCCCTGGTCCATGCTGTTCTCAGTATCCATGGCAACAGTGCAGCTTGTCACAGGTTCTCCACACCCGCCCGTTTCATTGCATTGCACGGAACTCCAGCCATCTTTCTCATCTGTCGGACATTTTCTGAAAGAGGAGAACTCTGTATCTCCCTCCTCCTGCCTTTGCCCTGGCAAAGAGGGTGCCAGGTGCCCTGAGGCCTGCACAGCCCTAAGCGGGGGAGTGGGACGTTCTGTCCTCTCCTGCTTGGAGAGCTTTGTCGGTGTCCCCAGGCATCAGTTGGTGCCTCCTGACACAGGCCTTTTCACCACAGGCACCTGCAGCACACGTAGCAGAGTCCTTGGACTTTGAAGAGGAAGCCACAGCAGGAGGAGGTCAGCAGAGAGGGGATGAAGTAGGGGGACGTGAGCTGGGGCGGCCCTTCTGTACTCCACCAAATGACTACGGGAGCCCGGGAAGCAGACACTGAATCCCTGCGAAGAGGGGTGGGAACAGAGGAGGGGCTTGTGGTGGCGGGTGGCGGTGGCGGTAGGGGTGGGGGTGGGCAGTAATGGTGCTTTCACCCCATTTGCTTTACAGGCTGTGGAAACCTTGGACACTTCTGCCTTTGTACTTGGCAGTGGCTCAGAATTGACAGTCTCGGTCAAACTCTGAGCAGATCACGACCCCTAGTCTTAGATCAGTCCATAGAGAGTGGTCACAATGAGTGCCGTGATGCTCTTAGAGGATTGGTGCAAGGGGATGGATCTGGACCCCAGGAAGGCCCTGCTGATCGTGGGGATCCCTGTGGAGTGTGAGGAGGCAGAAATTAAAGAGACGGTGAAGGCAGGCTTGCAGCTCCTGTGCAACTACAGGATGCTGGGCAGAATGTTCCGAAGGGAAGACAGTTCTAAGGCAGTCTTCATCGAATTGGCTGAAGCCGTCGATTTCTCTGCGATTCCTAGTCAGATACCAGGAAGGGGAGGTGCCTGGGAAGTGGTGGTGCAACCCCGTAACCCCGATGACGAATTCCTCACTAGACTGAGCTACTTCCTGAAGGGTGAGGGCCGGAGGATGGTCGATGTGGCCCAAACCCTGGGGTACGGCACTGCCACTGAGGGCATGGAGCCAGGGGTTTTCCCCCAAGTCAAACCAATAGTTTTGCAGCCTCTGAAAGAAAGCATGTGGTACCGAAAGCTCAAAGTGTTTTCGGGAAGCACTTTCCCAGGCCCAGGCGAAGAGAGTTTCGAAGTCTGGCTGGAGCAGGTCAATGAGATTATGAAGGTATGGCAGGTGTCTGAGATAGAGAAGAGGCGCCGTTTGCTGGAGAGCCTGCGTGGCCCCGCCCTGTCCATCATACGGGTGCTCCGGGCCCACAATGACACTATGACTGCGGAGCAATGCCTGGATGCCCTGAAGCAGATCTTTGGGAGCAAAGAGGACCATAGAACCGCGCAGTTTAAGTTTCTCCAGGCCTTTCAGATGTCTAGAGAAAAAACCTCTGTTTTTTTGCTGCGCTTAGAGCCCCTGCTGCAGAAGGCTGTGCAGCACAGCCCGATGTCGGTGCGCAGCACAGACCTGATCCGCCTGAAGCACATGCTAGCTCGGGCCAACCTGACCAGCACCCTCCGGGGCAAGCTGGAGATCCTGGATCAGCGTGGCTGTCCTCCCACTTTTCTGGAGTTAATAAAGCTCATTCGCGATGAAGAAGAGTGGGAGACCACCTTGGCAGTGATGAAGGAGAAAGAGAGGAATGGAGCAAGGAGCCCCAGGGCGTCTGGTAGGCAGGGAATAGCTGAAGCCATTTTCTCCATGCCTCAGGTCCTCATGCAGGCAGGGCCATCTTGTGAGAGCAGCACCCAGACCGTCCAGGAAGGGGCGGTCCCATCTGTGAAGCGCAGGCGACAGCCCTGCGGCAGTGCTGAGGGGGAAGGCCACAATCAGATGACATACCCTAAGATGGAAAACCAACCTCCTGTGATGGAGCCAGCGCAGTTTGTAGCACAGGTGTCGGGAAACGAGGCAGGGGCTGGGGCTTTGAGCCACCCCAAGCCCTAGGAAGCAGAGGCTCAACAGATCCAGGTACCCCATCCCCTGGAATGCAGAAAAAAGCTTTTCACAAAAGGAAGGGGAAGTGCCCACGGAGAGCACAGGTGGAGACTGGGGCAGAGGGGCAGGGCAGCCAGGCCGAGGCCAGGCCCACTCTCCCTCCAGCAGCTGAAAGGGTCTCTGCCCAAAAATGCAAAGTTGGGTCAGGAAGAATCCAGCACAAGATCCCGAAGATGGACCAGCGATGCAAACATGCGGCCAGCGCACCTGGCGAAGGGCGTGCGCAGGCCGTGAGCAGTCACACCGCCACAGCAGAAGCGGAAGAAGATACAGCGGGGGATTCTGACCTCGACCCCGACGTGTGCCCACCCGTAGACACCTACGCTCTGGGCTGTGAGCTAAGAATGCAGACCGGCCGCTGGGCCCCCTGGGGCCTGGAGGAGCCTTCCCCAGGGAATCTGTCACCAAGAGAAGCTGGCATCGGCCCTGAAGAGCTGCAAGGCAGAGAGGTAGTGGCCCCCCTCCGGAGAGGTGACCGCAGGGTCCAGCCTGTCTTCAGAATCGTCTACACCGCTCTCGGGGAGCCCCAGGAAGGAAGCACCGACGAGCCCCTGCGCCAGTAAGGCCAGGAGACCCAAAGGCCCTGGAGCCCAGTGCCAGCCTGCAGGCAGTTTCCTCCCCCTGTGGCCTGGAAGGGCTCCGGGGGCCAGGAGAGTGAAGGCAGGCAGGGGGTCGCTGGGTACTGGGGCTCCTGCCCCACAGCTGATGTTGGGGGGCAGGGAAGCTTTTGTTCCAAAGCAGGAGGAGGAGGAGGAGGAGGAGGATGAAGATAACGAGGTGGAGGAGGAGAGCAGGAGGAGGAAGAGTAGAAGGTATTTGGGGGGGAGGGAGGGGGGG